TATAAGTAGATAAGGTGCACACTCAATATTTCATGCAGATAGAAATACACTTTCAGGGGGAGTGAGTACATTTGTTAGAATTTCTCTGTTTAAATGAATATTAGCCATTTACATTAATATATTGATGTCAAACTATGATTACGTGATTCAAAAAGATGTGATAAACTTTGATTCAAAGCATTATTATGCCTGATAGACTGTGGCTGCTAGTGTGTCTGCTAGCTTCCACTGTCTGCTGGGAGTGTCTGCCAGCTTCAGCCGAGTTACCCCTCTTCCCGTTTATGTTATCACCCCGAGTGTCATAATTCGGGACAGTATATGCCCAAGGGGTGTGTTGGTTATGACACCGGACCACAACGCACACATGTACCCTCACATTCACATACAGTGTGTGACGACACCGATGTAAACTTTCCAGAAATATTATATATAAACTACATACAAGCAAACGCATATAGTCATCAACCGTTCTTACAGCTGAGACATACTTTTGTTTTGTTTTTCTTCATATACTTTTGAATGCTGAATAATTGTTTTTCTTTAATTTTTTTTTATGTCTGCAGGTGAATATCAGTACTTTTGCTTTGCTCTTTTCCGAAATGGTTCAGTATTGTCAGAATCGTGTATACACAGTGCCAGAGCTACAGACTAAGTAAGTGACAGTGCTCTGGATAATTGTAATTCACTTTTAATTTCTTGTGAGAGATAAAGCCAGGGAAATTTCAATGCAGTATTTACTGCTAGACTATCATCAGAACTGCATGTACATGTAGAGATGTAGAGACAATCCCAAGTATTGGTTGTAAAGAGATCATTCTCCTATTTCATTTCAAGCGTTATTTCTTACGGAGGCTGACTTTAGATTTTTTGCATACACTTTGTGTGTAAAATATCTTACTGGAGGCTTTGTGATGTAATATAATAGATTGATCATAAATCTACTACCTGTGCTTCTACTTATCCCTGCCTGCTAACAATGCATAAATATATTGTTGAGAAATCTCCAGTGCAGTTTCTTATGAGGTCAAACTAGCAATGAACACAGTGTGCGTATATTGAGAGCCTGTATTGTCGCATCGATGGTATGTCAAACCTATTCCTTACTTCATTTTAGATTATCTGAACTGGGTCAGCACGTCGGTTTTCGGATATTAGATGTACTGTTTATCAGAGAAAGGAATTTCAAAAGAGAAACAAAACTCCTCAATATGCTGCTTTTTATTAAAACTACACTGTGGAAGGTAAGAGTACAATTAAACTAATCATTGCGCAACTTTCTGCGGTCTTTAAGAACCAATCAGATTTGATCTTCTATCGCAGTTGAGAATATACCACATCTGAAAACAGACTGTGTTTTCAGATTTTTATGGCACCCAACTTTGGTGAATTGGTTGTCGTGGCATCCATCAGCAAAATAGACACTGTTCAATTCTGAAAATTTGCCTCTGGCATGGATGTAGCATGCATGAGTGGTTTGGTGTGTGACAATATCGCCACTGTACTCAGATCAGTTGTACAATGACAAACCACAGAGATTCAATTATAACTAGTAAATGAAATCGATGGAGCGCTGACTTCGTACGTGGTTCCCGATATCAAGTTTCAACCATGACGCTATTGTGAAGGTGGATAAATTGTCAAATGTCACTCAAAATACTCATCATTTGCAGCGAAGTTAATATTAATCAATGTACGTTTTCATGTACGTGGTTATTGTCTACCATTTGGAGCATGAGAACTCCCACTCCCACACTGGTTACTTTGTGACAAGTATGTGCCAGCGAGCTAATGTGCTGACTAGCTAACGACTGTTCAACTTGTTGACATCATTGTTCCTCGTCATATGTGATGTGCATCATAGTGAAGTCATTCCATCGTATTTACCTTGTCACTTTACCGTGTATACGCTACATTGTGTAAAAATTTGTATAATTAGCACAGTGTACATCACCATTGCATATGATCAGTTTGGTTTTTAGTTTATGGCCATAAAAATTAGATCCAATTATATCTATTTCTTTATGACTTTTTATTTTGGGAAGAAAAAACAAATATTTCTAAGAATTACAGAATGTGTCTTTGTTAAATATTTTTATTTCTTTTGCAGACATTATTTGGTAAAGAAGCTGACAAGTTGGAACATGCTAATGACGATGAAAAAACTTGTATCCTTTTTTTTTTTGGTTTTTGTTTATTTCATTATTGAAACCAAACAAGGAGGGATGGAAGTGTAAGCTGACCTAGAAGTCTCTTCAAATGTGTAATGTGAACAATGACCCTTTATGAAAAAGGGGTCACCAGTCTTGATTTGAAACTAGAGCTTCTTGGGTAACATTTTGACCCAGTTATGTACAAACTGACCATTGTTTGAGCAATTGATACAAGTCTGGCTAAGCTTTCTTAAGAGAAGTAAAACCTAATTGATACCAATTTGTGAACTGTTAAAACAAAGTTTTGTTGATGTAAATATTCGCAGACTATATAACTTAATGAAATTGCTAAACTCCCTAATATTCTTTTCAGAGATTAAAGTACCATAGTTGTATGTTGTTTCAAATGGGTCCCATGTTTCTTTGCTCAAATTTGAAGTGTGCTACTTGATGACAGTGGCATTTCAATTGTTGTTTGTATACAGTTGCAGAGACTTGATTTCCATATTTTATTGAAGTAATTGATATCTAATGCGTATGTTGACATATAGGCTTGTTCGTACATGCTTCCTCACTGTGGAAATAATCACTATAGACTGTTGTAGAATATATGCACACCTATAATGGTTTTATCTTATTAAATAAGATGTTTTCTATGCACGATTCGACCAAAAAGACATCAACTTGCGTCACCTTACCTGCGCAAATTATTACTACCTATTCTATTATAGAATATGTTATTGCATGTACACCATAGTTATATTCACAGACATGGTGGATGAGTTATTTCTGAATGTAACTGAACTTGAATTGTGGTGCTCACAATTAAGTACAGTGGTTAGCATTGTAAACAAAGGACCAAGTCATAGCTGAAATTTGATCAAGTTCGTTAAACTTGTTGGATAGGAGTTGGCTTATAATGCTTGTTCTTATATAAGTTTGTATGTGTTTTCTGTCCTTAATGCTTACATCACAGATTACATCATAGAAAAAGAATCGTTAGTCAATAAATTTATATCAGTACCAAAGGATAAAGGTAAATTTAATGTAGACGTATTCTTTCATGGCATTTTTAACAGAGCGGAGCTGTTCATTTAAATGATTGTTTGTCGTCACCTGTCCTGTCTCATTGGCCCATGACTCGTGTATACGTCTCGCACTCACTTTTGATATGACATTTTTTTGAAAACCTTCAGCCCGATTGCTCTGGTACAGGTACTTGATATGTAGGTGCGCCCTCTATAAGATTTGTTTATTTTATGCCAACATCTTCAGGTTTTCATTTTTAATGAATACTTTTTGACAATTTTCATAAAAAATGTTTTTCTCAACATCTTCTTGAAAACCATCAGTCTTATTGTTGTAATACTGTATACAGTATGTAGGCACCTTGGATAGATCTTTGTCAGATTTATTCATTTTGTGACGATATCGTTAATTCTCTATTTTTAGCAAATAATTTTTGTAATTTTTGGTAAAAAATGCTATTTTTGACTTCTTCTTAAAAATTACCAGGCCAAGTGCATTGATACTTCATATGATGTTGGGTTGACTTCTGTCAGATTTCTCAAATTTTGTGACAATATCTTCAATATTCTATTTTTAGCTCCACTGTCATCGAAGATTATAGGTAAAGCTGTTAGTTGTCTATTGTAGTTGTCGTAGTTTTTCAATGGCTTCTACCAACTCAATTGCTTTGATGCAGGTACATTTTATGGATCTCTATCAGATTTGTTAATTTTTAATCTTCATTTCTCTATTTTTATTATATTTGACAACTAATTTTTGGTAAAAAAAATATATTGGATTTTGCACAAGCCATAACTGTTCTTCCATTGGTGGCCATCTTGTATTTTGCACAAGTACAAATGTTCTCCCATTGGCAGCCATCTTGGATTTTGCAGAAGCATAAATGTTCTCCCAATGGCAGCCAACTTGGATTTTGCACAATCCATCAATGTTGTTTTCTCATTGGCAGCTATGGTGAATTTTACGCAATCTATCATTGTTCTCCCATCTTAGATTTTGCACTGTTTACTCCATCTTGAATTTTGCTTCATGTTATGATGTTCCAACATTGATGGCCATCTTTGATTACCGGTATGTACTGCTACCAATCAGCATCTATCCATTGGCAGTCGTTTTGGATTATGTATCCCCCCTGTGCACAGCCATTTTGGTCGTATTTGGATTTAGTATTGAGCGATACCTTTATACTGTTGTTGCTAGTATTGTTGTTATATGAGCATCTTGCATTCCATCATGATTTTATTGTCACCGTAAATAACCTGCTAAGCTCTGTGTTTTTTTGTGTATAACGAACGTTAGTGTATATTAAGCTACTAGTGGTTTAAACAGATGGGGTGGAGATTGAGAGCTATTACTAAATACTGCTGGTAACCATAGTACCAAAATAGTTTTGTTTGAATGTAAATTTTTATCAGGGCCAATGATTGATTGAATACGCTGTGATATTACATACTTTGAAAGTTGGCGTTTGATTAATGCTTGTGTGTTGCAGGTCATATTTGCTATTTGTGACTAGGTGACATTTTTTTTAATTTCGGTGTGAAAAGTGGTAAATTCCTATCACCGCACTCCCTTTTATTAAAAATTATTACTTTTGATGTAATTACTGTCATAAACTAGTTAGAATTATTGGTTTGGTGGTCAAATAAAAGTTTTTGAACACGTACTTGAATTGTTCATGTAAGAACTCGGCCACCTGTCTGAGTTCATTGGGAATATCTACTCAAGGTACCGACTAATTCTAGCTTGCAAGACAAATTTTAGAAAGTTGTACCACAATGTTGCACTTATACCTCACAGAGTGTATGTAAGAATTGATGTGGTTAGTATTACAAGCTTTTTTCAGTTTTAAATTATTATTTATTTTCTTGATCACATAACTAATTTAATGATAGAACCTAAAAGTAATGCGGAGAGGAATTTCATGCCATTGCCTTGAAAAAAAAATGTGTTCCTCACAATCACCTGGTTTGAGGCTACTCAGACACAAATAATATATTTGACTGACTGTGGTGGAACACAGCAGGTGTTACGATTGCCATGTACGTAATAAATATCATATTCTCATAACTGTCATCCTGTCGTGATCAGAGTATCAACCGCTTCGTTGACAGCATTTATTAATAGTACTGTAGTAACAGTAGGGCATCGTCACATTTAACATAATGAAATTAGACTAGTCTGTTTTATTTCAAGTCAAATCATCAGTGGTATGAATGACCTTAGGTCGGTGGGACTGTTTAGTGTTACAGGTGTGGAGCGAGTTCTAATTTGCCATCATCACTAAGTATGTCACTGATAAAATTGATAAGATATCTACGCGTACCAAAATATCCCCTCCCCTCGCTGTTGGTGATGATTAAAAAATAGTGATAATATACTATCGTGGGAAAACTGCCAGTGAAAAGAGATTGGGATAATTTTGTGTTAAAAGGATTTTGGTTTACTACTGAAGAGCCATTAAGAGATGCACTTACCTGTATTGTTGGTGTGGGACTGTGTCTAGCATTACTGCCTCTCTCTGAGGACGCAGGTCGTCAAAAGCTTAGCACAAACAGTACATTAGTTCTGGTGAATTTGTATCGGTCTCTGGGGGTATACACTTTAAGGCACAACACCGATGACCTCTGGATAATACGAACCAACTCTGCAATACAAACTTTTTTTTTTTTTTTTTCTCTCTCCCCTAACATGTACGTGTGTGATGTACTTTTTCACACTTTAGTACCATGCAGTAATCTCTTCAAAAAGAAACTGGAATGTTTGTGGACTTTTAATTTCCTCACATCTACTTGTTGCCGACCTTGAATTTAAACTTCCTTTTTATTCCCTGCTTTTCAACTTGAGGTCAGAAAATCTTACTACCAGCTCATTCCAATATGGCGATTGATTGAAATTCATTTTCTGCCTACCATCTAAGGTTAGTCAGATTAAAGTTCAGAAAGCTTTATGAGGAAAATATTGCACTTAAACATTCAAAAAAAAAAAAGCACCTTTTATTTTTTTTTTGCATGTATTTAACATTTATGGTTGCATTCTTCGCCTAGGATTGCGTTGCCAGCCTCGCTGCTCCATCTTGAAATGTGAGTAGTGAGTTGAATACAGTCGAGAAAGTTATACTAGCCGTTTTTTTTTATTTTTTGCACGATTTTCTTTCTCTTCTCTTATTTTTTCCACCCCGGGGTATTCAGGTATAAAGAAGGATCCTGTGAGATTTACTGTAGCAGTGTTATGATGATGTTTTTTAAATCAGAACAGGCACGCAAACAGAGCTGTGTGAATGAATTTATAATGTCAACAATAACAAGAAGAATCTTTGGCAATAGTGTACAGTACATTGTGGAGTAAACATTGCACTGAAAAACAAGCACATGGGATACACCCAATGCAATAACATTGACAGAAGGAATGCATTGAAAGTTTTGTGAGCGACACTGTTGATGAATTCTGCAACTATTTCTTTCCCGATTAATTTCTTTTTGATGAGTTTCTTCTTCCAGAAAAATCCCAACTTCAGTTACTATGATTGCAAAAGTGTTTGTTGCTTGGCAGGGAAATTAGTTATATATGTCTGTTGTAAATAATATCGTTATGATTTATGTTGGCTGTAGCTGGTCCTTGGGGAGGTACTCAAGAAATAAGTTTCACAGGTGTCTACCACCCATCATTCTTGGCGGTCTTGGCATGTAATTTATCAAACCCTAGTGGGGAAAAATGGGATAGTTATCAAAATTGATTGATGAATTGGTAAAATGGCTTGGCAATATATTAAATGTATGAATTAATATACCAAGCGTAACTTAACATTCTGTAAATTCTGCTGTGTGAAACAAAAATATGTGCCTTATGATAATTTTATTATTTTATTTTTACCCTGTTTTTAAAACTTTTAAAAGTTTTAAAAGAAGAATGAAGAATTATTATGGCAAAATTGGCAGCCATCTTTGTATTCCTGTATGGCATATAGTTTAATGACCCAATTTTTCTTATCAATATTTTGCTCAGAATACAAAATCATGAAATGTGGACAAACTCATGATTTTTAAATTTTTTTTACCAGAATAAAAATCTCTAAAATTTAATCATTTTCAGATGAAAGAAAGGCGTATTTTGTCTTTCAGATGATGTGAGTTGCAGAAACTGGTGTTTGGTGAACGGGTACCACTCTCCATCACTGTTAAACGCATTATTATATTAAAAAAACACCAAAGTAATAACATATTTAACCTTTAAATACCAAATTCATCAACTTTTGTTGTCACATTTCGCAAATGTATTTGATTAAGGCTGATAGGCAATAAGAAATTGATGTAAAACTGACAAAAAAAATACTCAATGATGTGGAAAATGAACAGGAAAACTAGTTAATCTGTGATGAAATTCATGAAATTGTAAAAAAAAAAAAAAAATTGTAAATGACATTTTTAAGTGGGAGTTGATCAAAGTTCTAAACCATGTGTTATTCAGTATTCCTACATGATACGTGTCACATTGTCTTGTCACCTTGTCACGTCAAATAGATATTGAATTGAATAAAACAAACAAATATGGTGTGTTATGAGTGAAAAAAAAATGATGCAATATACATGTATATCATGCATAAATCAGGGAATGACCAGCAATATACTTTAGGGGGTCTTACTGTTCGTTTTCAAATTAAACGCGATAATGATTGAAACAAAATTAATTAATAATAAATTTGTTCGATGCAATGATCCAACAAAGTTGGAAGGTGATTGTATTTTATTGCAATAAATTTGCACATTCTTATCAATAGTGTGTGGTGTGTTCATTTAAGAATCGTTTGAATTCTGGCCGACTAGTAGATCAACGTTGGAGCACAATAATTACTTCACTATATCTACAACATATGGATGTCTATGTGCCGTATTTAAATACTTTTCACAATTTTTTTTTTGCAAAATTTTTCATCAAGACCTGTAAGGAGTGGAAAAATTATGTCAATTTTAGTTAAATTCATGAAATGACCAAAATATTGCAACTTGATTTTTGTCAAAATTATGGCATTTAAAAAAGATTGATGATAATACACAAGTCAATTTATCTGGAAAATTAGGAATACAATTTTAAAAAATGTATACCCCGGTAAAAAATAATGTGAAAAAAACTGCAAAATAATAATTCAAATTTTCAAAGAAACGTTTTCACTTTTAACATATCAGTATACTGTAAAATTACTAATTTTCACTGGGTTTAAATTTCACTGATTTACCATTTCAGGCATATTCAGTGGGTTTTAAATTCACGGTTTTATCATTTCGATAATGTATTCTATGCTAAATTTTACATATTCACTGGGTTTTAATTTAGAGCATTTTCCAGTCAGCAAATAAGCAAAATTAAAACCCAGTGAATAATTAATCCTTTTCACAGTACTAGTATTCGTAAAACTGTGTCGTTTTAATCTGTAGTTGTTTGCTACACAAATGAATTGTAGGACAAGGCAATATTTGATAAAATTTGTGGAGCCAACCATGCATATTAATTGTCCTTATTTACATATTTGTTAATCATTTCGGTTTAGGATGATTTGATTGGTCGAATTAAGCACGATCTAGTTAATTTTATTATTATAATACTAATTAGTTACGAGATAAGTTGGATCAAATTTTTTCATGCAAACTGTGCATATTATTATTATTGATTTATTTCAGAAGTTCAAATGTACAATTAATGATACGAGTGTGACAATGGAAAAATAAATATAAATAAATTATCAAATTATTTTTCTCTTGTGTTTCCACAAATTAAATGACCGAACAAGGTTTCTATTACACAGAGATGCTACCAAAGTGTTCATAAACGTTTGCACACATATTAATTTACTTAATTTACATAATTGTTAACTATGTTAATTACAGGTGTTACTTAATTTCCTATCAAGTATTTTGTTTTCACTTTTTATGTGCATTGTACAAGAAATGGTTCGTAGGAATTAATATTTTTAGTTTAAATGTCAAAGTGCAAGACATCAATTACTAGGATGAGTGTCTGTTAGTGAATGGTTCACTTGTCTACAGCATGACACTTGATAGTAATTCTTGCATATTTCACTCACAAGTAGATGTACCCCAGTCTTGGATTTAAAAGTAACTGTATATATAGCGATTTCCCTTTCACCATTGGAACACACAAGTCAATTATTTTTTCATACTTTTTCAAAAATGTTGATCAAGAATTTCAGCTAAGGGGAAATTATTGGGTCCAAAATGACGAACAAGATAAAATGCATGGGAATGTGAACAATGTTGTGGAAAGGCATCTAACAACGTCATCCATACCTTCAATGTAACATGCGAGGCATTCCCCTCCCTGACCATCCAGTGTAAATAGCGCCCCCATGCTATGAGGAGGAACTGTTTCTATGTTAGACTTATATATAGAATATGCTGTAAACGTATTATAATTATTTAGTTTTAATTTTGCTATTTTTCTGGATATACATGTATTAATTCTGCTAAATGTGAACGTTTAAAATAACTCTTGAAAACTATGTATTACTGGCAAATTGCATAGTTTAAATCAAGATATCAAAATAAGTAGTATATTTATAAATGCCAGGGAAAAATGCTTTTACACATCACCGACCTTGACACTGGTTTTTCCAACAGTCAGTCAGTGAAAATAAAGTAAGAAACAACCTCTGTGGCTGGGTGTACAGATAGCAGGTTTGAGTATTGCTGCATGTGTTTGATTTGTTGTAATTCAACACGAGTACCAATGACCCAAGGTCTAGACAACCGCTATCACATCGTATTAAGGTAATGCCCATATGTATACTATTGGGTTGGCCCTGTTAACAATCGTCTGTATGTCACATACATTCTGACTACCACTGTGTAATAATAGTCCTTTTGAGTCTCTCAGGTTCATGTATGTGTGACTGGGATTGTTCCCCCCCCCAAAGTTTCTTGAAGACTTATTTTTTGACAGAATTTGAGCAACTTTATATGGTCACATTAACCAATTAAAATGCTTCTACTGGTCTGGATTTGAATGAGGTGCTGTTGTCATAGTAAAAACTGATATATGAAAGAAAAACAGAAGCCAATACTTTGCTATTTCCAGTGTGGCAAAAACAAGCAATCATATCATGCCCCAATCTGACAGATTGCTTACTCACTGTAAACTGTCTCGGTTTACAACCTTGCATTATTTTTCATCTTTGTCATAAATATTCCCTCCCTAGTTTGTTTACTTCTAACCAATAATGTCTGTCACCATAGCAACACCATATTATTTACCTGGCATCCTTAGTAGGGTTATCTGTTGTTGCACTATCTGTCTTACAGCCCGATCAAACTTCGGTCAAAAGTTTAAAATTGATTCACGAAGATAGAATATATGACCCTAGTGACCTTTTTACCTCACAGTTTTGACATTTTAGTAGCCTGTAATATTATCAATGAGTGGACAGAACCATTGCTCAAGACGGCTGTGCAGCTACCCTGTCTCCCTATAAATAAATACTTTCTTATTAATTGTCAGATGCTTCAGAGTCTGGTGTCGCATGTACTTCAGACGTAACCGTACATGTATCGATCATGAATCGATGAACAGTAAACACCGCTATCTCAGTAAATAGATAACAATCTAAGTGTCCTAAGTGGAATCGCTAATTCTTGTCAAATTATCCTGTCAATAATATTTGACATTAATTATACAATCGCCATGGTTACTACTATATTACCATTGAGTTTCAAGGACTGGTCATTAAATTACAATATCATGCGTATCCAGAGAAAAGATGGTATACCGATGATACTCCATAAAGAAAATATGAATTGGTAAACTATGTTCACTGAATACAATTTATTTAATCTTGGTAGCAATGATGTCGTGTATATTGTTACTATTTTAAGTGATGCAGTCATTGGGTAGTCAACATTCAAATTTTTATGTTACAAATGTTGCATAGAGTCCATATCGACATACCAATATGCGTCGATTAAGTTACTGGTACCACTTGCAATAATAATACAGAGCACGTAACTGTTTTATTTTTGCATACGATTATTCATTTTTCAATAATTTCTTAACGAAATATAATACTGGATTTCAAGAACTACTGGAAATCAATCATCTGTGATTGGATGGAGCATATTGTTCAGAAAACAACATTATTCAATAAAACTTTAAAGCAGACTGATTTTGTTTTTCTTTTGAATTTGTCTGCCTTTATTGCTTGTGTACAGTGTCTTGGGCCATGGTGGAAATCACTGTCATCTGATTGCTCAAAAACAACTGTGATCAAAACTCATCAAGTATACGTGTGTGTACACTGATGGTGGTTGAATTGAAAACCTTGTCCAGGGTAGTAGAAATAATTACTGAGTGTTTACAACTTGTCAAGGACATGCAGAGCTGAGTGTTTATCTTGCTACTTTGTGGTCTTCCTGTTTTTTATGACTTAATGTACATGTACCCGTATTTCTTTTCTTCTGCATTTTATGCATTGCTGTTTATAAACATTTTATTTTCAAATTTTTGATGGCTCGTTTGCTGCTTCGGTCAACTTTATAACTTATATGTTATATGGATTAGATTTTAATTACTGGTGTCCCAGACCTACAAGAGTATGCCATATTTTTTCTATTCTTAGTGTTTTGAATACAATACATCTGATTCAGCAGTGATCAATTAACTTTCCAACTTCCACAGTTAGTGTTCTATCACACAAAATTATTGGTTATGTTTATGATACATGTACCATGTTGATTATGTTCTTCATGCATGTACCATGTTATTCATGTTGGTTATGTTCTTGATACATGCATTATGTTATTCATGTTCATTATGTTCTTGGTACATGTGCCATGTTGTTCATTTTGGTTATGTTCTTGATACATGTGTCATGTTATTCATGTTCATTATGTTCTTGGTACATGTATCATGTTATTCATGTTCATCATGTTCTTGATACATGTATCATGTTATTCATGTTCATTATGTTGTTAATACATATGCCATATTGGTCTTGTTATGTATACCATGCTATTAATGTCTCATAACATTCATGTTCATTATGTTTTTGATTCATGTGCTAAATGTTCTAAATTATGCCGTGTGTTTATGTTACAGGGGGATTAAACTGTGCAGCGTTTACTGCTGGTATAGTGGAAGCTGTCCTGAATGGCTGTAATTTTGTGAGTACTTTACAACAATAATAATGGTTGTGTTTTTTTATATTTAAACTTCCATCGTGACAATGACTAGTGGGTTGTCTTATTAGTCTGCATTGGGACTTGACTTCCCACAAGGGTAGGATATTACATTAAAATTGGTGTCCAATGTTAGGCCAGGCTGCAATAACACTATTATTGGTATCTAATAGGTTTTGATAGTTCTTGATATATTTGCATACAGCATGCACCTCTGTTTGAATCAGCAGTGGTCACAGTGGTACTCTACAATACAAAGTGCTACTTGTTGCGTTGGAAAGGAATTGTGAAAATGCAGGAAAGACAATAAATGGCCATAATACATAATTCTGACATTTCGTATACTGTAAAACCATTTAATTTGACTATTTTAATGTTTGAGTCTTTTCACTGGTTTTTTCACATTTAATTTAGCAATTTAAAAGTTTGATGGAGGCAAATGTTACCTTTGTCTTCATAACTTCCCATGATGCAATGCACAACAATGGAAATGTTACAAAGTTACACACCTTGAGATTAAGAATTGAACAGATCTTGATACTGGGTGGGGGGGGGGGATGAAAATGACAAATATTGTTTTTTTCTCAAACTTTTTTATTCTACCTCTGTTACAAACATATACTATTTGCTTCAACATGTCTCCAAAGTTTTTGAGACTGTGAACTTGTAAGTCGAGTGCTTTCGTGATAACTGATAAGCGTCTGTGATGCTATTGTGTACAATCAGTGGCGTGTGGAATGCCATCGTTTGACAAACATTTTTAAAAGAGATTGACGCTTTATGAAAAGATAGATTTGATCTCTTTTGTCAACCAATCAGGTGTGTTTATTTGTTTTTCTCCTGTAGCCTGCTAAAGTCACCGCTCACTGGCACAAAGGAACCACTTTAATGATCAAGTTTGAAGAGTCTGTGATAACGCGTGATAAATCTTTAGATTCCAGATAGCACCTTCTGCTGGATATCTCCCATCAGTCTTTGCAGTTATTCGGCCATCATTGTGCAGAAATCATTATATTTATCGTACAGTAATGCATTTTTGTATCGTTATTGCATCATTTATTCTGAACTAAGAACTGGTCCTGCTGGATATACCGGACAGTATTGTATATTTCAGACCATAATTTACCTGGATTTATGAATGACTTATTTTGGATGAAGTCCCAATTAGTGTTCTATATTTGTTCTTCGAAAGTAATGTTTTGCAGTATGTGTTCCACGTGTTATTTTTTGTTGCTGACAGTTCAGTGTAAGCTAAACTCCTTTAGGTGCAGGAGTGCTCAACATAATATTTCCTGTTGATCTGTATGTGCAGTGAAGTATATTTCACCATTCAGAAATTAAACCCTTATCACATTTTTTTTCTGTTGATTTTGGTCAAGCCCTGTATGCAATGAAAAATTATTTTCATTTGGCCCAAAATTAACAAAGAAATTATGAAAAAGACACATTGCACCAATATTTACTGACATGCAAATACATATATGGTATTCAATGGTTCATTCAGCTGAATATTATTTAATATATATGTTAGCTTGCACTTGAAGTTGATAATTTTAGATTTATTTATTTGTTTTTTGACAATTATAAGACCTACTGCCAATATTAAAATTAATAAAATTGAGAGAAAAATTGGTCATAATTTATTTTTAGTTCAGAAGTATTAAGAAAACTGTCTGAAAAAATGTAAGGCTTTGTAAGGCTTTACATTTTTGGAACAATTTCTACAGGAATTTGTATTACGTTAAAGAATTATGTCATATTAAAAAAATAAAAAATATTTATCCGAATTTCTCTTGCTGAAGGAATGATTCAGCGAAAATAAAATCCAGCAAATATACCTTCTTTCCTATATTTTACATTAAAAAAATCAGTGAAAATTAATTCCATACAAAACGTCCAAAAAGTCTTTTCAGAGAAAATTAATTCCAGCTAAAATAAAGTATTTTACAGTAGTAGTCCAGAAATACCAATAACTCTAAAAGGAATATCCCAGAATGCAACTCTAACATAGTTAGAAATTGTTCATATACTATTACTTCAAAAAAGCATTAAAATTTTCAACTATTTGGGGAATAAACAAAAATCAAGAAAAACAAAATGTACATTTCCTGGATTTATGAAATCCTGCCACGTACTGATGTAGACAAGTGACATTTGCCAGATTTTTGTTGAACAAGAACTGTTTGTCACCAATCTCAAAGGATTATGCGTAATGACAGATGCTGTTAAAACCTAAATCATGTTATCCAGCTGTCATTGGCATTAGGGATTGTGGAAAGTGAAGATACAAGAAAAACACATGTCAACTTATTGAAGGTAGTCAATTGAAAACTGAATAAAACCATAGTAACAGAAAATCAAATACTGTATAATACTTTATTTTCACTTGGAATTTATTTTCGCTATTTTTGCTGAAGGAATGATTCAGCGAAAATAAAATCCAGTGAATATACCTTTTTTCCTATATTTTACATTCAACTTGTAAAAAATCAGTGAAAATAAATTCCATACAAAACGTCCAAAAAAACTTTTCAGTGAAAATTAATTCCAGCTAAAATAAATTATTTTACAGTATATGTATGTATTCTTGGTTCAATTTTGCATTTCATCTATATTGTATATTCTTACTTTTCTTCATCATACTATTACAGACGTTTATTTATAGGGTGCTGTTTCAAGCTTTATGGAAAATTAAACGTCGAAGGCATTCATTGGAATTACAGTTATAATTATACGAGTGTTTAATGACATAGAGGGCAGTGTTTTAGATACTCACTGGTAGCAATGTGCTGATATTTTTTTTTAAAATGAACTTCATTTTGTTCAATCATTTCAGATAAAGGGCCTAAGTATTTTCTGTTCAATTTACTGTTTTACATCCAAAATATGGCAAATACTCAGAAATGTCCCATAACGCTAGTTGCGTTTTTGAACAAAATGTCAAATTTTGGGACAAATGAAACCCTTGAGTCATCAGATGATGCATAGTAAAATAATATTTGTCGTATTCGATTTATAGACATTTGAAATAATCTTTTTTTTAATTTTTTTTCCTGGAATTTCCCATTCTAAATTACGCAAAGATCAAAGACGTACATTCTCAAACTTTCTCACCTGCGTTCTCTTCGCATGCAAAATTTGATGTTAATTACTACAAGATTCAATGTTGTTTCAAAAGATAAAAACCAATTTTAATTTGGGACTATACTGAGGAAAAAAATGACAATTAACAATTGGAGTAATAAGGTTTTTGCATGGAAATTATTTTTGAAGGCATATTTGCATCTATCAACCTCTAGACGGTGCTGTTTTCATAGATGGATACCAAGTCTTGTGTTTGAATTCAAAATGGCTGCTGTTGTGGCATAATGCTATAGGAGAATCACTAGGTATTGCATATATAAGTATTTGTCCCTTTCACTCGTTTATGTTAACATTTCATCTCCAGAGGGCGGTATTTATATGATAGGTTCTCTAGAGGGCGGTATTTATAGGATAGGTTCTCTAGAGGACGGTATTTATAGGATAGGTGATTGACATTCTATTTTCCAAGAGAACAATCAAAATAGGATCTGTTTAGTTTTTACTAGATACTTTATTCCTCCAATTTATGTTTTTGTTTTGTTTTTTATTTTAATCTGGCCCTGATTAAGTCCTATAATAATAATTAAGAGTTTGTATAGCGCCTCATATCCATCACGATGATGCCCAATGATGCTGTCAGTTCACAGAAATGCTCTCTGAAACATACAAATTTTGGGTTTAGATTTGAAAATGTTTAAACTGGCTGCAGAACGAATGTCTGTTGGTAACTGATTCCATAATGGCGGAGAAGCATGTGAGAATGAGCGATCGCCATGTGTCTTGAGTCTGGCTCTGGGCACTGTAAGTGTAGATGTATTACTTGAACGAAGAGTTCTACCAAGTTGACAAAGTTGAATCAAGTCTGATATGTAGTTCTGACCTACCATCTCCTTAAAATAAATCATTTTTCAAGAGCTCATTAGAATGCATTTATAACAACGATATTCACATAAGAGGGATATTTAGTTTTCTGAGTAATGCAGAAGTCTGATTTCTTGGTTGTAATAAAAAAAACGCAATTTTATTTTTATTTATTTATTTATTTTAGTCTCCACATGTTTAAAACTGTTATGCTTAGCTTTGTGTTGGTAGCAAAGAAAACAAACTCGCAAATACAACTTTTCTGTAGTTTTCAGGTTTTCTGCCTTCCCGGTCCATTTCATGAAACAGATTTTCAGAAAGACGTCATATAGAAAACTACAAAAACAAGTTTTTTTGTTGAGCAGAAATCAGTTACTGCTAACACAAAGAGATGCATAATTTATTTTATAACAAATTACAGATCACTGGAATTAATTCTATTACAAACTTCTCAATTAAATTTTTTTATACTTTTTTAACTGTTTGTTTCATCAACCTCTGGTACCACCTACATGGTCATATTGCAGACAAAATAAAACATATTTTTGCTCCGGATAATAAAAAATATATAATAAAGATAAAATCATTCATAAAAACAAATGTATTGTAAAATAACAATAACAAAATCTTTAAATAATCAACAATGACTACTACCTGCAGATGAACTGTAAAGGGTAGACCAGTACAAACTCTAGGTGGGGAGATGGTACAAAAACCACATTTACCCCCTGTTTGTACTGGTCTGCCCCTTACAGCTACATATTTGTGTACAAGGACCCCACAAGTCCATAATCCACAAATATTTCATGCATTCAAGTAACTTTCTAAAACCTAGATATATTATTTAATAATTTCAACATTATCATTAGTAGTATGATACCGGTATAAAGTTAGGTGATTTGTACCCAGTTTGTAAATTTGTCAAAGGACGTATGTCACAGTCGTGTGTGTTTGATGTTGGTTCTGTACTATTCACGGCAATGTATGCACTTATATTCATTCACCAATATTGTGAATGCACATGACCGCAAAGACCAACTCCTTTTAGCATAATCTAACTCAAATATATGAAATAAAATACAAATATTTTAAGATCAGATTTGGTTAACATCATATATTTTTTAAATTATATAACAAATCTTATTTCAAATCTGGGAAAAATAATAAAGTATTAGTTGGCATTATATAGATAGATAATAGATAATGGCACTTCAAATCAGATAATATATGTGATATACAGGAATTTTATAAAAGTGAGCTCGTCAATATTAATTTAAATTCTAGACTTGTATACAGAAAGCTACAGATGAGGATTTACAGTATTAATATTGCTTCTGTGAAATATATGAAATTAAACATCATTCACTGATGTTGGACAGTTCAATGTAAATTATATAAAAATAGCTCATCTCTGTACGTCATTAACGTGTGCAGAGAATAGTAATATGCTCATGTATGTCATTGGTGATCACCGCAGCTGCAACCAGTATCATCCGGTATTATCCAGTTTCAAGGACCCCCTGTTGAGGTTTTGCTTAAAACCTTCATTCGTGGATGATGTCATAGCTGGGCTGATCACATGACAGTCTGGTGATGACATCATGCCAGTCACATGATTTAATTAATCATGTGACAAGATGGATCTAATAATCACATGATGATCATGCGACTGATGACATTATGATCATCACCATGGCAACATGAGTGGGCGAGAGGATTAAGAGCAGACAAGTCTACTCCTAATTCACTGCATCCAATCTAACATCAACATCACTCGCATCAGCTGTCTTTAAAGCCCAGCTGATGAAGCCGTTGTCAGGTGACCTCGTTGTGATTGTGAAGCTCCTGTCATCTTTCTGATTCAAATTTGTCATCGTGATCAACATGCTCAAGTAGCAGATCTTCATCCTGTTTATCATATGATGATGATGACTTTGAATCTTTTGTATTGTTGGGCCGCCTTTCTTTTAAATCTTCATCTTTATCCCTCAACTGATCTTTCTTTGTGCTCATCTCTTCTGACCACCCTTTGACTTTCCACCAGTCAGCATCTTGCCCGTTGTCTTCATTAGTTTCAGTTGGCCTGTCATCTTTTCTTTTCATTTCAAAAGAATCTTCATCACTCTCGCTCGACCAATCTTTTCTTGTCGCCTCAAGAGAGTCTTTATCCTTACTTTTCTTGTCATGTGATTCTTCTTTGCTGTGTTTATCTTCTGATGACCATTTCTCTACCTTCCACCAGTCATCGTCTTTTTTCTTCTCTTCTGATGAGCCGGACTGCCTGCTGCCATCTTGCTTGCTCTCCTCTGATGAGCCGAACTGCCTGCTGCCATCTTGCTTGCTCTCCTCTGATGAGCCGGACTGCCTGCTGCCATCTTGCTTGCTCTCCTCTGATGAGCCGGACTGCCTGCTGCCATCTTGCTTGCTCTCCTCTGATGAGAAAGATCCTGATTTACTCTCCGTGCTGCCATATTTCTTGCTCTCCTCTGATGACGCAGAGCCTGATTTATCTTCCCTGCTCTCCATGCTCTCACTATTTTTCTCATCCTGACCAACCATCTGTGACTCATCACTGCTGTTCGTTTGGCTATGGTTTCTTACTCGCTGTCTTTCCAGTGCTTGTTTTTCAAGATCTTCGACTTCATGCTCAAGTTCAATCAAATAGACCAGCTGTGCAATCGAAAAACAAAAGTAAATTAAAAAAACAAGCAAGCTGTCTGTTGATACATGTTATCAAAAATAGCAATAACAAAAAAATCTAAATTGACAAATCTGAATGAGGTCCTGCCAAATATCAAAGCAATAAATATGAATATTCATCAGAGATCAGCCGGAAACAGACATCATTCTTGATAACCTTTGGCAAATGTTTGCTTTGAGGGTGGTTTACAGCCCCTCATGGCCAGGCAATATAAAGTGAATATTCTAAACTGAGAGGTACATTTTTGTTGTGAGAGTTGTTGAGGGAGGGTCAGTTGCACAATATTATGTTTACCAATCATTGTGGTTATAACGACAATCCCTTTTTTAGAATTCAAGTTCTGAAAATTTTGATTCCCCTCGCACGAGAGACCCAGTTATGTATATAGATATATTTCCTTAAACTTTTCCAATGAAAATAAAAAAAAATGTGAAAACCCGTTTTATGGTGATTGAGCATATTGGACATGACAAAACAAGTGATTGTAAAATCGATCTTTGACAATCTTCTCTTCTGGAAATTTATTTTCACAAGGTGTGGAAAACGCCTATCTGAAGGAGAAATGCAGTCAAGGAAATGTGTGGAATACCGGTATTTCTCAAACTTACCGGATCACCATCGATGATATCGCCAGACCCCTCATATGAGGTGTTTACTTCGTACGTCACTAGATCTTCGCTCACCTGAGGTTCAACGACCTCACATCGGCCACATGGATTTTCATAATATGCACTGACAATGGCCCTTTCTACATTGTCATTTTCAAGGAAACTGTATGGCATTCTAATATGATCTACAAGTTTACCACATCTGAAAATAAGTTGCGAGTACAATGTATTTATGGGTCTACATGACTATCATCGTCAAAACCTCTTCCATAAATGAAATGATACACCCTTTACTTGTCATATACTATATCTTTTGTTCTATCCAGTTTGCTCAAATTGTCATTCTCATAGTGGCCCCCCGGGGGGGCTACTTGCATAGAAGTGCAATACGGGTATGTGCCGCCCGACTGGGGTGTCATTTCACGTTATTTTGTTTAGAAGTGGGTAGTCATTTATCAATGGTTTGGTTTAGAAGTGTGTAGCATTTATTCGATTTTTCACAGGTCCTTATATTCAAGGCCAAATACCGGAAAAGGCTGAATAAATTGCATCGGCCGGATGCGCTCACTGGTTGCGAAAGTTGTGAGCTGGGTGTTTTTTTCGCTAAAAACACTTTTGTTTAGAAGTGGGTATATAAATAGAAAAAAAATGGTTTAGAAGTGAGTATGGTTTACGAGAGGTGGGCTTCACACCCTTACCAATTTAATGTGGAAGTAGCCCCCCCCGGGAGTGGCCCTCCCCATGTTAATTGATATGGCCCTCCCCATATGAAATAGTATATACCCCTTACCTATCGTATACTATAATGTCATCTTTTGCTCCATCTAGCTGGCTCCAAATGTCGTTCTCATACCGTGCTTGGTACACGGGAAAACTAACACGTTGGTGCAGATGCCCAATCAGGAACTGAGAGTGCAGTTTCTTGGAATTGACCACCAAAAAACTGATCTCGTCCATGCCTTGGGATAGGAATTTTTCTCGCAAAACTTCAAGTCTGTAGAAAGCAATGAGAACACATTTATTTAGTTGTAATAGTGATTGACTTAATAATAAAATCAGAAGACTCATCAAGACTTGTTTTATAAGCAAATGGAAATGGTGTTGTTAAGAAGCCCCGTAACTGAAAACTCCGTTATTTTCCTTTTTTCGTAAATTGTAGCCTGATATAGTTGTAGCGCCCTCGCCGATGGATTCACAGTTCCAATTGACTCGTCAGCGAGGGCGCTATAAATAACCGACCATGTCAGGTTGTGTAAATTACTGATATTGTTTTGATCTGCGGTCATCGTAAACAATTATATTTGTTGAAGATTTAAAATGACCTTGTCTCAAAAATGCGGCTTACTGGGAAGACGTAGTATCTTGTTGTTATGGCTTGGCTTATGATTTGTTTTACATTTTTTTTAATGTTGCTTGATGTTAGTTAATCCTGCGTTATCCGTGAAATCGATCGTAAAGACAGTACAAACACAATTCATAGCGCCGTAGTGACGTCAAAACGTCAATAGGGATTCGATTATTTTTTATTATTTTCGCGCTTAATAATGTGCTGTACTTATTTATCTGAGCGCCATATTTTGCCCGGAAGCTTGACATCGAACTTTAAAGTAAGAAATGTATGTTCCAAACCAAATCATTCGATTTTTGTAGCAGATGTTCATTTCACGCTTTTCACGTATTATGCGAGATCTCGCGGTGAACGGGATATTCACCAACTGCATGTAAGGTAAAGAGTTCACTTGTGTCGCTTACACGTCTGCGGCCCTTATACATGATCGGTCTAAACAGGGAGCTGAAACATCAAAATATAGAAATCAGTGTGTCTTACATGTTTTAGTTCAGGAATGGGGTTTTGTGTCAATAGTACTTCATGGCTCAAATAGATTATTTTATTTATAAATTATTATAAATATAAATTAATTATTAGTGAAAATAACTTGAATGAACAAAACGATGTGGTAGATGAACGGAAAACAACACTATCGACAACAGTCAGTGTATACTCATATGTTCAAATACGTAAACTCAATTTACAAAACGTAATTCACTCTCTCAGCAAACAATGAAATTAAATTAGTATATACAATGTACATTTCACATATTGTTACGCCAGACTGCCCATACATGCAAACACACTTCAGAACGGCCGTGTAGATTATATTACATTTGTTGCATTCATTAATTCATAATAAACTTACGCTTCAGCTTGCGAGAGACAGAAATGTCAGCTAGCTTGCAACAACGCCACCACCACTACCTTGCCCCTATTGGCTAACATTGGCGTCTCTTCATTGACGCTCCACAGCACCCCATCCGGACACTCCGGACTAATGGGGGCGCTGCATACCAATGTTGCCAGGGAAAGCAAGGCAGCCAAAAGCATGCCTTGGTGACCCATTGGCGGTCTGAAATAAAAAAACAAATAAATAGATTATACAAGCAGTCTGTCGACTGAGATACTCCGCTGTTAGCAATGCGCATTTCATTAGAAAAATAACAATACAGTATGTAGTGTCAAAGCAATCGGACTTGCTGTTTTCAACAAGAGTTGGAAAGTGTCACTTTTTACCAAAAATGGCACAAATATTCACTAAAATTAGGTAATTGAAAATATCATCACGAAGTGAATAAATCTGAGAGAGGTCTATCTGAGGTACCTATATGTATAGTATCAAAGCAATCAGACTTGCGTTTTTTTTAAAAAAAAATAAGTCGAAAATGTCATCACGGAATGAACAAATCTAAGAGACGTCTACTCAAGGTACATATACACCAAGTATCAAAGCAATAAGAATTGTAGTCTTCAAGAAGAAGTTGAAGAAGTAAAAAGTTGACACGGACAATCACTAATATGATAAGCTCCCCTCGACAAAGTCGACAGCGGAGCTAAAAAAAATATCACCATGGGAACGACGTATATATACATATATATTTATTACGAGTTCGAATTCGGAAAGAAATTTGCAAAATGACTGAACAAATATGTATAAAAAAATATCTATATAATTTTAATTGAAGAAAACTGAAAAGCAATTTGCAAAGTTTTTTTTCCTCTCTCGCATTATCAAATTATCAACCTCTGAATGAACCAATTGTCCAATAAATAAAACCAACTTGAGATTTATTCTTATCTGTGCTTTAGATTAACCATACATATTTATGGAGATCATTCACTTCACAGATATACGCTATACAGGACGTGCTTTACCAAAGCTACCACATTTTAAATACAACGCCTAGTATTAGCAGTGAGACGCCGTAATATTTTAACTGTCGAGTAACAATATAACCAGGGCAGTTTTCTTCAATATACTGTCAGCGCAACAAAGGCATTCCCTTCATTTTCTTAATATTTATAAATTTCACAATTTAAACTGAAACGAGGGGTTTCCGTTGGCTGATTGAATAACGTTTTTAAATGACGTCATTGCGCACTGTGATCATTGATTGACTGGTTGGATTGAACTGCCATGGACATTTATTAATATTTACAAAGATGATGGAAATGCCTTCGTCTCGCTGAGAGTCTGTTCATGAATCTCCAATGTTAAAATAATAAAATAATAATAATAATAATGTAAACAAGAAAAATCGCCAATTTGTCATACCCCTGTAGTATGAACACCTTCTTACACATTATATTTCCGGTTTTAATCACCCTCCATTTTTTTCAAGAATTTAACACGGACAGATGCACCCGAAGTTGACGCGTCGGTGTCGAGGCACCGCTGCGCATTCAGACTGTGAGGTGAGACAAACCCAAATCTTATCAGTAGAACAAAAAACTGGATTTATTGGTGGCAGTATCTGATCGATACGCGAACAATAGTTTATGGGCGAAGGGCAATAAACATAGTGGTGCCACTGATAACGGTGTGCACGCACATATGAGAGGCCACCGAACTGTCCAGCGTGTGAAATGGGGACTCTCAGTCACGTGAACACCAATGCATGAAATTTACACAACGTCTTTCTCTTCGACTAAAGAAACCCGCAAACGGTTTCTTGCTTTAATGTATGCAAATTATACAGAGACGGCCTTGATTATAATCCCTTGCACTTGAAAAATGATGTTCTGCAGTTCCACAAATAGACGCAATCAGTGATAAAATATATACGACGGAGCACTTCAACCACCCAGTTGACGAATATGAAGTCCGGATATGTTTACGATAACGTGTGGAAGGAAAGTTGAAAACATGTTTACCAAGTAGACTCCGAGACTCTCTTTTTGCTTTCCACTTAAAGGTCAGACTTGATCACAACCTCATTGTATGTAAATCAAGACAGGGTCGTTTAAGGGTTAGACATTTAAAATCACGGGGGGGGGAGTCTTCTGGTAATATCAACTTGAACTTTTTGAAATATTCCATGAGTGTATTCAACGATGTCTCCCATTTGGATAACTTGTTATTAGGTACCATCAAGCGTAAATGCCTGATAACAGCTCTAAAATATCAGTGCGCGTAACAAGTAATAAATCAGTTGGTTTTGGTCCGGTCATTGGTACTTAATATGTAACGTAACCGCAGACTTTTTACTCGCTGTACTTAAAAAACGTAGTGAATTAATTTATACTTATGCTATTGCTAAGTTTTAAGAAAATGCGCGCTTATATACAAAAGTAACAATACAATTCACCCGATGTTTATTGCGGGCGAAGCAATGACACACCAGGGTATCGAAAACAATCACGAACACTGAACCAGTATTTTTCACTAGGCACTTCAGAACCGTGCTTAAAAGTGTACTATCTACACATACGATTGAACTTGGCATATACATATAATAAAATAATATCTTACCACAGGAAAGTAACTTTTTTTTAAAGACGCCTGTAGAATACTTCTCGTTTCGTCGCTACAAAGCACTAAATGCTGATGCTGACAAAAGAGGGGACTCACCATGACGGACGACGTCACGACCTCATTTACATAGAATGGGATCATTAGTATATAGTTATGCACAAGGTCATTGAAGGACGCGTTCATCACCCCATTACTAGTATATCATACTATCGCCCTCTATCGCGAGTGGACGATATCCACTCGTCACGGAAAAGGCGAACATGTCAGACAAAATGACGAGACGGAAGAGAAGGCTTGGGAGAGGGCGGTGTTTTCCGAAATTGACAACACGTATGCAATGATTATCTGAAAAATATGTAATAACTTTATTGAAATCGTATTCACAATGGGGGTATTGATCAGTACAATAAAGGTAATATGTATATAAAATAATGACAGAGAAAAAAAAAAGTTACAAAAATAACTAAAACATTTAAGAAAGAAAGAAAGAAAAAAAGATAATTAATAAAAAACGTATAATAAAAATAGTGTTTTTTTTTTTTTATGACGCAACTGGTAATCCTTTTGTAAAACTACTAGTATCTTCCCTCACAGTAAAACACTGGTAAATGAATATATTTATCTCTTTCAATATTTGTCTATCTTTTAGTTTTAGTATGTTAATCAAATTTTCATCGTCAGACAGTGACGTTCAAGTTCTTTGACATCGTATTATGTGTAGTTGGTTGGACCATTATTTTAAATATTGACTCGGAGCTTTAGTGATTAATGGTAATTTCCCAGTTGCCAATCTGCAGCCACAGTAATGAATGCTTGGTATTATTTATCAGAATGTGGACAGTCGTTCTGCGCCATTTTTCTGAAGCCAGCTTGATTATTATCTTTTACATAGTTAGTATTTCTTTCTTTGATAATCATGAACAAAAATTGTCAGCTGTGCTGCTTGTTGCAATGCCTCTGTAATGTCGATTTGTCAGTGTAATATCGTTGATATTCCGGGTGGATATTCTGGATATTGTTTAACAGACAATCGGTGATTTTTTTGTGAAGTCTTCATACCCTACGGTCCGCAACTTGTGTGTTCAGATTAGTAAGCCGCTACAATTTATAAAAAAAAATATTTTACATGCTATTCTCAGTACAAAACAATCTTGGTAACTTCACACTGTTCATAAATCAGCCTTGTAAATGTGCTACACTTCGGTTGAGCTATTGTCAGTTAAAGCGGGAGGGTCGTCATCTGCGCACGCGCGGGAATTGAGTCCCAAGCGATGATAACACACGCCAAGAACGCAAAGGCTCATGGGTAGACGCTTGTTTGTAAACAATGACACGCTATGGCCACATGACGCATGCGTAGGTGACGACTCCCCCGCTTTAAGATGCAGGGACTGGTAACTAATGTTTATATACTCAGCAGTGTCATGATGACATAGCGCCCTCTATAACTCAAATGTACTTGAATTCGAATATCATGTATCAGTCATAGGTGAAATAAATAGGTGGCGTCTGGTTGCATTTCGTTCGTACTCAAATCCTACAGTAACCACAGCTCATACCCCATCAAAATCCAAGTAAATATGTAAGTGTCTTGCAGTTGTGCATGACTCTTATTCTAATCATTCAAAATTTTGTTTATCAGATACAACCAACCAACCCAGAGATTTGGCGATATTAGAAATGATGAAGACGAACAATAACTTAAACGTCAGGTTAGTGATGGATGAAATAATTATTCCTCCCAATCTTTTGGGGTTCTTTTCTTTTTATTGTATAAAGTGTTTGCCGTTACAGTAAACATACATGTAGTTTTCTTTGAGTTCCGTGTGGAAACTAGCAATAATTCAGTTGAATACACGTTCATGTTACACATGTACTTCTGTCTATACTGAGTGTGAAGTATTATTTATTATGCTTATCGTCAGGACACACGAGCCTTAACTATCAATCCGAAATATTGTAATTAACTTACGAGTCACTGGGTTGTGTCATGATGGAACATAGACAACTGACGAACGAAGATTCGGATATGGATGGTCACTGTAGATGATTGACTGGTGATAAACTATATGAGACCAGTTATGAGATCATATGGAGAGGGAAATAGTAGAGAATGATTGGCCATGGAGAATGTAACACATACACTGAAGAATTTGGTTATTATTCATTTCGCAGTAATGTATTATATAATTTTTAATTTTGACTGCGGGGACACCCTCTATAGAAATATTGAGGTCGTCAACTTCCTGCATATTTATATATAGATGACGTCAATTTTTAGTGATTAGTTGTGAACTTGTTTTTTTTTAAATTGCTGTGACTTGTTGCACTCGGGTAGTTTATCTGTGTGTGTCAAGAAGTTATTTAGCTGAGATTCTCGCCTTTCGTTTGGTGTGTATTTAATTAGATATAGCGCTATAAAGAAGATGTTTAGTGTATTGTAAGTTGTTTTATCGTACCACACTCCAGCATGCGTCAGTCTTTATTTAGAATGGGTCATCGTGGCAAGATAATAAAGATCGATTGATACAATAAATTACTAGTATTCCATATTAAGCGTACTCTCGCGAATTGCGCCACCAATGCTTAATATTCAACGACTGGGGGCGCTACACCAGTACTTTCCTGGCTGTCGAACAAACACACGCACATTGAATTGTTTGTTTTTCTCAAATATTTGATTAATAGCGAGGCACCTTCTATAATTGTGACTCGAAATATTTGGAAATTTAGCATAGCTGCTGATTTCTGTGATTTGAAAACATCTGACACGAGGCATCTTGTCAACTGTCACGTCTTTACAGTAAAAGTTTGCGGCAACGACCATTGCCATGGCGACCATACTTTGTTAACGCGGTAGTTAAGTAACGAGCACGGAATAATCCGGGGTGAAATTGCAATCGTTTTCAAGTCCAATGTGGATGTCTAATTAGGAAAGCCGAAATGAAGGACGCCAAGACCCATAGTGAGTGAAAACTCCGGTGGCAACATAATATAGAAATTAATATTCCCTCGTTCGTTCACCGACCATGGGGCGTCATGGCAACCAGTGAAATCCAGTGAAATTCTAAATGACCAAACTAACTCGCATTGATAACAAATATAATATGCTGAGATTATTTTCCCCGACGGGCGCGAATGCGTATACGCGTCCACGCAGTGGCACACGAGTACCCTAGTGGTATTATCCACGTCAGGGATGACCGCCGCGAGCGGTGACACGTAGGATGGTGGTTGTATTCCGCCCGTGTCCATTGTAAAAGAATAATAATATCTAAGCGCCAGCTAGTAGGACACATAGGCGTCGAGGTAGTGGAATAAAATGAAGTCACTGTGGTAGGTTGTATTTGTATTCAGTACGATTACTAGACTAATCAATACAGATAATCACGTGACCTAGATCAGGATATGCTGTGTAGCACGTTTGATGGTTTAAAGAACCTTGCCAAATTCTACAAAGCTTAAAATCAAAGAGTCGTATTTATATAAATTAAGCGTGGCGACCCTTACCTTTATTCTCAGCCAATTCTCTAACAAGCCTTTCATTATTACAATATAATTTACTATTGTGCGCATATCTCTTTTTTATCCACGCAGACAAAAGATACGATATGCTAATTCAGCCTTAAAGGTTTCAGCATTCGAGAAATATAATCACAGTTAATTTTCGGCTCGAGGATACTTTAAAAACACTTGCGAGTCACGTCTGACGCGTGGTTTCTCAAACATAACATTCAGCCACGAGCGCTAGGATGCAAGAGTGAGATTGATACATATATCGCCATGGTAACGAATATTGAAAAGTCATTACGAGAAAGCGTATGGAAGATGGATGGGTTCCCCATTGGTTGGCATGTTTCGAAGGCTATCGCCCAACTTAACGTGGTTGCGCCATTCACTACAGTTTAATTTGCGTGAGTAGTCTGCTAATCGGAAGTTGGGGAAGTCATTTTTCCAACCGTTGCAACATGGAGGGTAACGCAACCGAACTGACGGGGTTCACCGATGAAGCGAAAGCGGGAGTAGGACTAGTAACTGTTGCATTAGCGATCCTGACTGTGGCGCTCAATAGTTTGGCCATCGTTTCGTTTGTAGTGTTCTCGTCATTACGAGACAAATCATCGGATTTTCTCATTCTGAACCTTGCTGTCACGGATTTATTGCTCGGTTTACTTGTTCTGCCGTTTAGTATCGCCCGCAAGATGCAGGGAGAATGGTACTTCGGTTCCGTGACGTGCAAACTATGGCGCAGCTTCGATGTGTGCCTGTGCCTCCAGACGTTGTGGACAGCGATGTTTATAAGCGTTGACAAGTACGTGTACACGTCGCATCCTCAGCGGTACACGGTCATTGTTACAACCATGCGTCTGCGGATCATTATAGTTTCGTCATGGTGCGTTGCCGTGGCATTCTCTTTTATACTGAACATGACAGATATTGCAATAGATCGCACCAGCGTTACACTTGTTCCACCTGATTCGTGTATGTATGTGCTTGATTCTCGTTACGCCGTATCGGCTTTCTTCGTTAACTTCGCCTGCCCGTCCCTGGTCATACTGGGGACTAGCTACCACACCTTCCGGGCTGTGAATCAGCAACACAGGCAAGTGGAGGCCCTGATGTCGAATAATGCTCTTCACGTCAGAGGGCAAGGGATACAAGCAGACAGTCATCAATTATCGGAAGTGAAATCAATCAAAGCGTTATCTGTACTCCTAACAATACTTGTGGTCATGTGGTCGCCGCGATTCGTCGTGTTATTCGTGGACGCGGTATGCTACTGTGTACATCCCGTACTTTTGGAGACGTGTACATGGATAGGATACTGTAACTCGGTTGTCAACCCGATGCTATACGCCTTTAACGATAGGTATCGGAAAGCGTATAGGAAACTACTACATTGTGATTTCCACTCCGAGGTTTTAGATGACTCTGATCAACATATGAATCCTATTGCTGGTGTATCCAGACCCAATCCCAAACCATAATATTTCGCGCGAACTAACTTCCAAAATTGTAATTACAACCGGGAATTAGCGTCTGTAAAATTACAATCACATTCTGTTGATGACAACCGAGGTGTTAATTATCTTTATATAGGATTTGCCACGACGAACGCGAGGTTTGTTCCTTGTAAATAGCTCCTTGAAATGCGAAAACAAGTGATGTATTAGTATGTTTTGCTTTGTACCGTGACAGGGAGAGGATTAACTATTCACCATTATTCAATAGATTACCACCGGTTAACGTTCTCTGACAACTTTCGTAGCTCTCTGTCCGCCATTTTGTGTTGTAATTTATCAATGTGCCAATGTTTACGAGGGAATGGTATTTAAATAAATAGGTTATGTTTCATATATGCAGAAGGAACCGTCCGAATTTCAAATTGAAATTGAAAATAAATTGCGTCTGATTTCTGTGAATGTGTCCGTGGTTATCTATAGTACGATTGTAACGTAGTATGATGTGGAGACAAATTATGGTCTTTGAATAATGCGCTTGAGGCGCATGCGCGACACGCAGGAAACTGACTGTAAACCCGCAAGTCTCCTCTTCACGCGAATGGAACCCCGCAGGCAGTCCACTGAAAATAAAATCCATAGCCGAGGGAGGGTAATTAGCCTTAGATTATTATTTGTTCTAGCATGTCCAAGGATGAATTAGCATTCTGTAAACTCTATTTTGACTTTGTTATTTGAATACAAATCATTTCGCAACGATGTTTCCTCATTTAAATACGTGAAACAGGGATATCCCAAGACCCGGCACGAGACAAGGCTAGCTAAAACTAATCCACTCTACGCTGCAGTCGACTCTACGCCCGGTGTTTGTGCTTTAGTCAGTTGTCAATGGGTATCCATCCACTGATCCATTCACGCTGACACGACTTTATTACGCGCAGAAAAACATTCTCCGTTGCCATGTGAACGCCTCATGGAAATTAAACAAATTAGACAACCAACAACGATTGCTAGACTCTGCGGCGTCACGGCATAGTTCTGAAATGAAAATATTTCATACTGTTTTCATTTTATTACTTGATAATACAAATTGGCTCTTTCGCTGAGATGTTATGGTCTTTTCTATGACGTAATTTCCTATGCGAGTTGGGTTTAAGATAATTATTGTGAAGATCCACCCATGGAGAGTGACAGTATAATTACAGCAGTGTGAATAGACAGTATGTGGCAGAGAAAGCGTTGCGAGGAGTTTGCCGCTAATGATGCCCAGAAGGCCCAGGCGTCTTGTAACTTAGACGTATATCCAAGCACACCACTGCGAATACTAATAAAGCTTAGCAAAAGTCACTGTACTATACGATATTATCAAACGTATGTACATTTCAAATAACATAACAGATTTTTTTTTTTGGCTAACTGCCACGATTTACGTTGCATAAGTACCAGCGGTCCAAAAACGACGGACATCATAGTTCTCAAATCTGCTCATTGAATGTGGAATACTTTGACTGTTAGGTGTTCTATTGTATTGTGCTTCACAAAGTATAACGACAATGATCATAGTAAAAAAATTGTATATGATCATAAAAGGAAAGCGAAACTTTCTGAAAATTTAAAGGTTAAATATTATATTCTATTTGGAGATATGGCGTTTTAAATAAAATCAACACGTTGCAAAATAAACATGACGAAACAGACAACAAATAGATTTCCCTGCCTGGGATTTGAAATCATACTATCCGATGGCACTAGCCTCAAAGTGCTATCTAAGTGAACTCGCAAAATATTTGTTCATTTCTGTTTAATGTGCATTGTAACCGTATATTGATGCTCGAAATCGACAGCTGAATCGCAATACGCTAATCAACATCGGAGTTATTATGCGTGATGTCATTCAATTATTCAACTGCTGTCATGGCAACCTATGCCTTCAGATGGTTTAAGCCATCGGCGAGTGACAAGACTCAGATACATTTATCGTCGGTTGATCACATCATATTAAGGTGGAAAATGCGATATAATTCGTTTATACAGCACGCAAGCATGCTGATAATACCTCATCTCAGATGTCTTTTTAAATAAGTCGAAAAGCCAAATAACGATTGAAACATTTTGTCTTGCTTTTAATTTGATTTCAGATTTTAGATTTGAAATTGTATGTTCCCATTTACGGCGGCATTTGTATCACTGATCTATAGATCAAGGCAGCTCGAATGTAATTTCACTTGTATGTAGCTTTCAATCGCCCGAGAGAATTGTGATTACTCCAGCGTAAACAGATTACGATCGCTTAAGCTTACGCGGTGGACAACGCGGAAGATTAATGCTGCCAGTTTATCAGCATCCTCCTCGCTCGCGATTTTGTCATTTGAGGAAAGAATCCCATCCCATCCAAGTGAATCATAATTCAAATCCTTGAAAATCGCCTTTGTCACGATGTTTGACTTAAAAAAAAAATAAGTAGCTCATTTCAAACATGACCAAATTGACAGCTTCGCCACAAAGTGAATAACTAAATGAGTTTTTAGTATTCTGGTTGCCACGTTACTGAGCGCACGCCAGCTCCGACACCGGGTTATGACGATGGCTACTTGTATTAGCAGTCGATCATGAGTTTGCTAGCTGCTATAATTTATTTTGTACGGGTAATCGCACTATTTAGACGACGCGTTTAGTGGAGTTAATCTGAAAGTTAACCGACGGACATCCCACACGTCGTTTAAAACGGGAGGGTTGTCACCTGCGCACGCGCGGGAATTGAGTCCCAAGCGACTATAACAACACACACCAAAAACGCAAAGGCTCATGGGTAAACGTTTATTTGTAAACAATGACACGCTATGGCCATCTGACGCATGCGCATGTGACGACTCCCCCGCTTTAACTGTGTTTTATATTGATTTATTATCAAGATTTTGTACACACACAATCGGGATTGGTACGTGCATAATTTGTAACTTCTGTGTAACTGAACCATGTGCCAATGATAAGATAAATCTATGATGTTTACTATGATGTCAGTAAACTCGGGCAGTTTTCAACAGATATTCATGAAATCACAGTTGAGTCGAAGCATATATACGGCACAGAATTTGACACTACATATAAAAGCTGTTTTCTGATTGGTTTGACTGTTCGGTGTATG